GATTCCTTGTATTTCTTTGTGTTGTCTGATTGCCATGGCTAGGACCTCCAGTACTATGTTGAATAACAGTGGGAAGAGTGAGCATCCCTGTATTGTTCCCAATCTCAGAGGAAAAGCTTTCAGCTTCTCGCTGTTCAGTATGATGTTGGCTGTGGGTCTGTCATATTTGGCCTTTATTTTGTTGAGGTACTTGCCCTCTATGCCCATTTTGTTGAGAGTTTTTATCATGAATGGACATTGAATTTTGTCGAATGCTTTTTCAGCATCTTCGTAGATGATCATGTGGTTTATGTCCTTCTTTTTGTTGATGTGGTGGATGTTGTTGATGGATATTCGAATGTTGTACCATCCTTGCATCCCTGAGATGAATCCCATTTGATCAGGGTGTATGATCCTGTTGATGTATTTTTGAATTCAGTTTGCTAATATTTTGTTGAGTGTTTTTGCATCTATGTTCATCAGGGATATTGGTCTGTAATTTTCCTTTTTGGTGGGGTCTTTGCCTGGTTTTGGTGTTAGGGTGATGCTGAGTTCATAGAATGAGTTTGGGAGTATTCCTTCCTCTTCTATTTTTTGGAAAACTTTAAGAAGAATGGGTATTGTGTCTTCTCTGTATGTCTGATAAAATTCAGCGGTGCATCCATCTGGCCCAGGGGTTTTGTTCTTGGGTAGTTTTTTGATTACTGATTCAATTTCTTTGCTGGTAATTGGTCTGTTTAGATTTTGTGTTTCTTCCTCGGTCAGTCTTGGAAGGTTGTATTTTTCTAGGAAGTTGTCCATTTCTTCTAGGTTTTCCAGCTTGTTAGCATATAGATTCTCATAGTATTCTGTAATAGTTCTTTGTATTTCTGTGGGGTCCGTCATGATTTTTCCTTTCCCATTTCTGATTCTGTTTATGTGTATAGACTCTCTTTTTCTCTTAATAAGTCTGGCTAGGAGCTTATCTATTTTGTTTATTTTCTCAAAGAACCAGCTCTTGATTTCATTGCTTTTTCTATTGTTTCATTCTTCTCAATTTTATTTATTTCTTCTCTGATCTTTATTATGTCCCTCCTTCTGCTGACGTTGGGCCTCATTTGTTCTTCTTTTTCCAGTTTCAATAATTGTGAGTTTAGACTAATCATTTGGGATTGTTCTTCTTTCTTTAAATATACCTGGATTGCTATATATTTTCCTCTAAGAACTGCCTTTGCTGCAACCCACAGAAGTTGGGGCTTTGTGCTGTTGTTTTCATTTGTCTCCATATATTGCTTGATCTCTATTTTGATTTGGTCATTGATCCATTGATTATTTAGGAGCATGTTGTTAAGCCTCCATGTGTTTGTGAGCCTTTTTGTTTTCCTTGTACAATTTATTCCTAGTTTTATACCTTTGTGGTTTGAGAAGTTGGTTGGTAGAATTTCAATCTTTTTAAATTTACTGAGGCTCTTTTTGTTTCCTAGTATGTGGTCTATTATGGAAAATGTTCCATATGCACTTGGGAAGAATGTGTATCCTGCTCCTTTTGGGTGTAGAGTTCTGTAGATGTCTGTTAGGTCCATCTGCAGTGTTGGTCAGTGCCTCTGTGTCCTTACTTATTTTCTGTCTGGTGGATGTATCCTTTGGAGTGCGTGCTGTGTTGAAGTCTCCTCAAACAAATGCATTGCATTCTAATTCCTCCTTTAATTCTTTTAGTATTTCTTTCACATATGTTGGTGCTCCTGTACTGGGTGCATATGTATTTATAATGGTTATATCCTCTTGTTGAACTGACCCCTTTCTCATTATGTAATGTCCTTCTTTATCTCTTGTTACTTTCTTTGTTTTGAAGTCTGTTTTGTCTGATACAAGTACTGCAACACCTGCTTTTTTCTCCCTATTAGTTGCATGAAATATCTTTTTCCATCCCTTGACTTTTAGTCTGTGTATATCTTTGGGTTTGAGGTGAGTCTCTTGTAAGCAGCATATAGATGGGTCTTGCTTTTTTATCCATTCTTTTACTCTGTGTCTTTTGATTGGTGCATTCAGTCCGTTTACATTTAGGGTGATTATTGAAAGATATGTACTTTTTGCCATTGCAGACTTTAGATTCGTGGTTACCAAAGGTTCAAGGGTAGCTTCTTTACTATTTAACCATCTAACTTAACTCGCTTATTAAGCTATTATTAACACAGTCTGATGATTCTTTATTTCTCTCCCTTCTTATTCTTCCTCCTCCATTCTTTATATGTTAGGTGTTTTATTTTGTACTCTTTTTTGTGTTTCCTTTGACTGCTTTTGTGAATAGTTGATTCTTTTTTTTTTGCCTTTAGTATTTGGTTGGTCTGCTTTCTTTGCTGTGATTTTATTTTCTCTGGTGACATCTATTTAGTGTTAGGTGTGCTTCCACCTAGAGCAGTCCCTCTAAAATACCCCGTAGAGGTGTTTTGTGGGCGGCAAATTCGCTCAACTTTTGCTTGTCTGGGAATTGTTTAATCCCTCCTTCATTTTTAAATGATAATCATGCTGGATACAGTATTCTTGTTTCAAGGCTCTTCTGTTTCATTACATTAAGTCTATGATGCCATTTTCTTCCTGTCTGTAAGGTTTCTGCTGAGAAGTCTGATGATAACCTGATGGGTTTTTCTTTGTAGGTGACCTTTTTTCTCTCTCTGGCTGCCTTAAATACTCTGTCCTTGTCTTTGGTCTTTGCCATTTATTTATTATATTTCTTGGTGTTGTCCTCCTTGGTTCCCTTGTGTTGGGAGATCTGTGGGCTTCCATGATCTGAGAGACTATTTCCTCCCCCAGTTAGGTTTTCAGCAATTATTTCTTCAAATACGCTTCCTATCCCTTTTTTCCCTTTTTCTCTCTCTTCTTCTTCTGGTACCCCTATAATGTGAATATTGTTCCATTTGGATTGGTCACACAGTTCTCTTATTCTTTCATTCCTGGAGATCCTTTTATCTCTCTCTGCCTCAGCTTCTCTCTGTTCCTGTTCTCTGATTTCTATTCCATTAACGGCCTCTTGCACCTCATACAGTCTGCTCTTAGGTCCTTCCAGAGATTGTTTTATTTGTGTATTCTCCCTTCTAATTGATCCTTTAGCTCTTGCATATTTCTCTGCAGGTCCATCAGCATGGTTATGACCTTTATTTTGAATTCTTCTTCAAGAAGGTTGCTTATATCTGTCTCCCCTGGTCCTCTCTTGGGGGTTCTCTGGGTAATTCTGTACAGGACAAAATTCTTCTGCCTTTTCATGGCGATAGAGGTAGTCATAGGCAGATGGCTTGTGTGTCAGCTGAGAGAACAAAGTCTATTCCTGCTTGCTGGCCACCCTGCCCCTCTCTGCTGCCTCTGTCATTCACCCTCACAGCAGGAGCAGCGTCTGGGTTAATCCCCAGAGCCTCCATGGTCGGGGCAGCCCAGAGCCCTGTGGGGAGAGGCAGGTGCACCGGGTGTGCTCTCCTGTGAGAACAGCACCCTTTTGTGCCCTGCTCTGGTTTCCTCTGCCTGCACCAGGTAGCTGCACGCCAGCGACAGCCCTGGGTAGGCTCGTGAAGCTGCACACCAGGAGGAGTCTCTGGGCAGCTACTGTGGATGTGGCTGCTCTCAAGCTGCTCGGCTGATGTAGCGGGACTGTGCTGGAGGTTAATGAATGGCAGGCTGTTTATTGTTGTGAGGGGCTTCAGAGCTGCGCTGCCTTCCAGGGGGCTGGGGTGTCCGAAGCGTCTCAGAATTCCCAGCCTGCTGGGCTGAGTATGCCAGGCCGATTCCGTGCAGTTGTAGGGTACCTGTCCCTCTAAGACTTTCAAAAAGCACTTGCTTTTCTTTTGTCCCAGGGGAGCCGGTTGTGGGGACCCACCGGCAGATTTTAGCTTTCCGTTTCCCTAGTATCCAGCACACCATGCAATGTGTGTCTGCGCTCCTGGTGCGGATGACTAGGTCTGGTTATTTAGCAGTCCTGGGCTCCCTCTCCCTCCCCGCTCTGGCTCCTCTCCTCCTGCCAGGGAGCTGTGTTGTGGGGGGGCGCTTGGGTCCCCCCGGGCTGCGGCTTGTATCTTAGCCCCTTCGTGAGGCACTGAGTTCTCGCAGATGTAGATGTAGCCTGACCATTGTGCTGTATCCTCTGGTCTCTCTTTTAGGAATAGTTATATTTGTTGTATTTTCAAAAATATGTATGGTTTTGGGAGGAGATTTCCTATGCCCTACTCACGCCACCATCTTGGCTCCTCTCCTCAGATGACTCATTTTTATTTAATCACCACTTTAAAAGTCATATTCTGATGTACTGAGGGTTAGGGCTTCAACATGAATTTCCAGAGACGCACTTGAGCCCCTAACAGGCAGGCTAGGCCTCACACTCCACTGCACTCCCCGAGCCTCTGCTTCCATCTGTCTCAGCCCCTGTGACGCATGTACTGTCCTGCATTTGTTCCCTCCACTGACCTTAGACAGGCCCCTCCTAAGTGTGTGGACATTTGGTTTGTCTTTTTATCTTCAATACCTCATGTGGTACTGGCTCATAGAAAATGCATAGTAAACACTTGCTAACAAAATATGACTTAAAACTCTGAGGGTTTCATCATTTATTACATGAAAAGTTCTATGCAAGATTGTTTTCTAGCCGGCCATAAGCAGAGGAGAGGAACCAATCCATATTTCCTCTGTCTGCAATAAAATTTTCCTTTTGCCTCTTAAGTGTCTTGCACTTGCCTATCCTTTAGAATTTCTGTAAGGTGTATTATTTACTATACTTACCTAGCTTTCTCTAGGGTTTGAATTCATATTTAAATTTTGAGCTAGATCTTCCTGACTTAGAAAAGAAATTTGGAAATTGGCTGAGAAGCACGTTTTCTTGAGGTTCACGGTTTGTGGGACTAACAACAAAGTGGTTTCTGCTCACCAGTCATTCATTCAGTCATTCCTAAAACACGAGAATGACACAGCAGTCATGCGTAGATGCTCAGAACCCAGTGACTCAAGAAAACTGTTTACAATGCATAGGACACCATGTCTGTGCTGTGACTATAGTGATGTCAGCCCCAACTGCTCCTGGGATACTCTCTCCAGCTCAGCCCCACATAGGCTAGGACAGAGTGGGAGATACTTGGAATTGTGTCCTCACAGGAAATGTTTGACCAGAGATCGAATGACTGCTTATCTTGGGGGTTGTGGAGCTGACTGGAGCACCAGCTAGAGGGGTGGGTACAAGACCCTCTCAAGTCTTGTCTCTGTCTAAGATTCTGAAAATTTTTATTTACCCTGAGAGCACTTAGAAAGGACATTATATTTTGGACTCTGGTTTTAACATATTTTTAAAAAGAAGCTCATATAAAGTTACCACAAAGTAAGATAAAACAATCACAATGGGGTTTGAAGTCATAGGCTTGGTAGGCATGGCTGTTGAGGCAGAACATCTGAATACAATAGAACCTAGGCCCATGTGTGGCCTCTAAAAGGCTGTGCCCACCAGGGGCTGCTCGCCGCCTGTCCGTGGGCAAGCCACTCAGTCGGTAGTGTAGCCATTCCATGCCACGTCAGCCAGTTAATGTCTGTTCCTCCTAGTTGGCCTTGATTGTGGCTCAGCACCGTGACCGCTCTAACGTCCTGTCTGGTATTCAGATGGCAGCCCTAGAAGAAGGCCTGAAGAAGGTATATTTAGCAGCAAGGGAAAAGAAAGGTAAGCTTTTCCATCTGTACTCAGGAGTGGATGAATTTCTGTTTCCAGGCATGTGATGTGATTTTTAAATGGAGGTGAGAAATGTCAGACATCATCGAATATACATGATGAAGGTAAGCCTCAGTATAAGGGACCACAGAAATAACAACCGCATCATCCTGTATTTGAATAGCATTTTTTCATTTCCAGATCACATTTGTATCCATTATCTCTGTGGACCATTTCCTTCTACTGGGGCATTATTTTTTTATTTTTATTTATTTATTTTATTTTTATTTTTATTTTTATTTTTTTGAGAGGGCATCTCTCATATTTATTGATCAAATAGTTGTTAACAACAATAAAATTCTGTATAGGGGACTCAATGCACAATCATTAATCAACCCAAAGCCTAATTCTCAACAGTTTCCAATCTTCTGAAGTATAATGAACAAGTTCTTACATGGTGAACAGTGCAAGGGCAGTCATATCACAGAAACTTTTGGTTTTGATCATGCATCAACTATAAACATCAAGTCAGATATGATTATTCATTTGATTTTTATACTTGATTTATATGTGAATCCCACATTTCTCCCTTATTTTTTTTTAATAAAATGCTGAAGTGGTAGGTAGATGCAAGATAAAGGTAGAAAACATAATTTAGTGCTGTAAGAGGGCAAATGTAGATGATCTGGTCTGTGCCTATAGACTAAATATTAATCCTAGCTAGACAAGGGCAACAAAACATCCATGGATGCAGAAGATTTCTCTCAAAACGGGGGGTGAGGTTCTAAGCCTCACCTCTGTTGATCCCCAATTTCTCACCTGATGGCCCCCCTGTGACTGTGCCTGTCTTAGGTTGTTCCTCTCTTGAGGAATCGTACCTGTCTCTGGCTAACCGGCCATCTTCCGGGCCATTCAGGAAAATGTAAAGTTGGTAAGTGAGAGAGAAGCAATATTCTTTGAAAAGGTTAGCTTTTTACTTCTTTGCAGATTTATGCCCTGTGGCTTCTATGCCCAGCATTTGTCTTGATGAAAAATTGTGATACTCGGTAATTTTCAATATGAGGCACGAATTCTACTAAAGGGCTGTAATTAGGAAGGACGAAGAAAAGCTATCGAAGTAGCAGACGGAAGAAAACATGGGAAGATTGATTATTTCTTTGACATAACTTCTTGTAGAGTAACATAAGCATGTGTAGGTTTTAACAAACTACTAATTAAATTGTGTACACACATTAACAGAATAGGAATACAGATACATAACAAAAGCAGACATACAATTACCAGCCATATCCAGTGAAACCAAGAAAACCAGTTAGGTACCCTAGGCATTTGTGAAAACTTATCAATAATATGATGGATATTGTCTAACTGAATTTAAATAGTTTGAGAAAAATCAGACAAATTAAAACAGCACATTCCTGGGAACTGTTCACATCCCATATATTCTTCTAACAGTAGATAGTCTATAGTCACACAATTTTGGAGCACTGCAACTTGCACTTCTCCTAATTCTTGGTTGAGTTCCGACAATATAGATCCAGTCAAATTTGTTGTTTTACTGTATGCACAGGCCAGCTTAGATATCTCCTTCTTCATTCCAATGGCAAGTCCAGGAACCGGTGGGATGAATGCAGCTACAACTGCAACAGTGCCAGGATCTTTGTTGAAGTTTTTTGATGATCATCTTCTGGAATGACTCTTCCAGAGAATGTTGATGTTGGAAGTTCTTCTTCATATCATATCTTAATTCGTTTTCTGGGTAGCCAAATTAGGCTTTGATCCTCTGTATACACTCGGGCATTATTTGTACCATGATTTTACACATGAGTGAGCAAAGGACCAGAGATGAAGGTAAACTGGTGATATGCAGTTGGGAAATGCTGTTTATCATATCCCCTTTAGGAGAGGCCTAGTCCACATTAGCAGATAGTTCTTTGTCAAAAGTCAGAATTAAGTTTTGTTTCCAAATCCAGTGTGTCTCAGAGTTTGTTGAAACTCATTGACTTGTCAAAGAATCTTTATTTTAATTATATCTCCAACATTACTCATGTTCTGTTTCCATTGCACCTACTTATTTCCAGAGCCTGTATGTATGTCCTTGTATTTAACAGAATTACTTAATTTTTCCCTATCACAATCCCTTCTCAGAGTATTTCAGACATTATAACTGTATGCTTTGTGTGGGACACTTCCATGATGATAAACATTTTATCCTTGGAAACCACAAAGTGATGGAGAGTATATTTTCTCCTATGTGTATTTTATACCCATCAATCAAATTTTGATGAGGTCATTGTGATATATTCTTTTATCTTTTTAACAGCAAGTGTTCATCTTCCACGCATTGGACATGCCATGAAAGGTTTTAATTGGTATGGTACTGAGAGACTTATTCGGAAATACTTGGCCACAAAAGGCATCCCAACTTACGTGTATCCTTTTGTGATCGTACTAGTGTGCTTTCCCAGCTCAGAAGGGAAAATGTCTCGCATTTTCTGGTATCACTATTTAATCCAAGGCCAAGCCTTCTTCTGCCAGGCTTTTCACTCTGCCCTCTTCAGTGAAACAAAAACTGAGAAGCACTTTTAACTTGTGTATGTCCACAGAGATAAATACACCCATAAACTGCTGGGTACTAACAGCTAGATCAAAAGGTATATGAAGGGGGGAATTAAATAAACAATTGCCATTTTATAACATATTGAATCTTTTTCATGTCTCTTCTCTAGATGTCATTCAGATCAAAGCCTCATTCTAAGACCTTTACTCTCTTCACTAATGTAAACAATTAAATGAATAAACAAGCTATTTAACTTTTGAACCTATTCAGTGTATTCTTAAGGAGAATCATGAAATTAATTTTGACCATTAAGATATCATCTAGTTTTGCTAGACTAGTATTTTCTCTTTTTTTTCTAGGCATAAGGTTTCACATATTTATTACTGAATCAACAGACTAGTGCAGAGGCAGAGAAACAAGTTATTTCCCTAGTAAAACACACCCAGTTATCCAGATAGTAGTGATGTTTACAGAATGAGATGGTAAGAGCATGTGACTTAGATACAGCATAAATATGTATGCCATTTCATGTGTGATTCCTTGTAGACCCAGCTTGGTTCTCCTCCAATTTCTCCTCTTGGGATTTTACTGGATTTTATTACCAGTTTTCATTCTGCTTTAGTTTCTTGGCCAGGAATTGCTTGATCCTGAAAGTATTGTGAGAAGACATGGTAGGAACAGCACCAACAACACATCACATGGCAGAAAAAAGGAGAGAGCTAGAGTAGTATTTTCTTCAAATGACCTCCTTGCTCTGTAAATTAGCATTGTTTGAACTATTATATTGAGTCAAAAATCACTAGAGAAAGCTGAATCAACTCCCGAGTTTCTTAGAGAAACTCCATCTTTCTACTTACTTATTGAATTGATTCACTCAGTGGTGCTTTTCAAGATACTGATGTCACTCTAAAGGCTTAGCAGAGAAGTCATGTTATATATGGTTGCACAATTCATTAAGTGTCAAGAATTGTAGTATATCATAAAAGCAGCAGTAAGTAAGTTCTAAAAATAATGTAGTATTTATGGCATGGTGAAAGGGAATTGAGCCATACTACTTCCGGAGTGATAATTTCAATAATTACTGACCTGGAGAACTAAGAGTGTTTGTAAAGTTGATTTTAAACTGATGAACTATATCTTCCTTGACTGTCCTTATCAGATACTACTTTACTAGAAGTAAGGCTGCCACCCTTCATTCACAGTCACCTCCCTCCTCAGGACAGCCAGTGCCTTAACATCAGCCCAGCATCAGACTCGCCTTCAGCAACCAGCTAAAAAGATATTTGCCCAGAGCTGCTGTGTAATAGTGTATCTCAGGAATCAGGATCTGGTGGGCCTCTGACTCTGCTTTCTGCATTCTAATTTTGTTCTCCAGGATGTGTTACCCTGACTGGGTATCTGTAATACAGAGATGCACAACTTAATGGGGAAAAACCTTAGGCAGCTTGCCAAGGCTCCAGCTTACTTAGCTATATGCATAATAATAAATTTTCTAATGTCTAATTGGTTTCATTGCTTTCTTTCCTCTCAACCTAGTTTTTTTCCCCTCCATCAGACTGAGTTCTTTACATAGGGAAATGCTGTACAGATTAAGGAGAAATGAAAGGGGTGGCCATGGGAGAAGGAAGCACCTTCAGCCAGTTCATAACTTGGAAGGATAGGACTCTGAGACGCAGAGGCTGAGAAGTGATATTCCTGAGCCAGACAAATGGAACCCTCCTGCCCTCGGCACTTTTAAACATGGGGACCTAGAAGAGAACACATTGGCCTAGAGTCTGTCAAATGCGACGACAGAGAAACCAGAGGCTCTCCTTTCCCCTTCCCACCAAATTGAATTCAGCTTCAAGAAATATGGGAATTGTGGAAAAGGCACAAAGCTGGCATGGAATGACTAGTGGTATTGCAGAGGCCAAGAGGTTGAGAACCACAAGTAAATTAGTTATGGGGGCAAGACACATAAGCTGTGGCTCCTTGTGCTTTTGTATGTGAAGTCTCAGTCTTGGCTGACTATCATCAACCAGCCTAATTTCTGCTGTTTTCAGAAAACTCAGTGCTGCACAGCCCTTTTCAGAAGCCTTAGCCCTGGGCCCTTGATTCAGGGACCATGCCCTAGGGAAGGTGATGCCTTTAGCACCCAAGTTGTACCATTCTATTTGATTCCCTCTCTGGCCCCTTCACCTGTCAAAAATATAGTATTGTGCTGAAGACCTGTTAGACCCAAAATAAGTGATTCATCTGGTTTTTTTTCTCCTAAAACTTACTTTCATTTTTACTGCCTCCTACCTACTACTCGTAACACCACCCCTTGACACACAGGGTATTATGGTAACTTGAACCTCTTGACTGGCATCTTTAAAGTCTTCTGCAACTAGAAGCAACATTAAACTTCTCAAAGTAAGAATGTAGTGAAAATGTAACCTAATGCACAGGTAAGTTGCCATGCCTTCAGAAGCAGGTTAAGTTCAAAGTGAGATAATAGCAAATGCAAAGAAAACTTAATTGTGCGGAAGCTGTGTAGTGTCCTGAAAAGCTGTATACCCTTCTGATAGCAGAGTGCATAGGGCTAGCTGTGCATGGTTTAGAACAACTGAAAGAAGTGCCAGAACAGCGGATTCACTCCCAAAGAGAGCATAGCTGAACTTTTCAGGAGCACAGTTGTTTTTTACGGAGAGGGGCTTTGTTTTCACCATATACTCTGTTTCCTGTGCTCCAGCCTTTTGGGCTTTTTCCTCAGAATGGAAGCTCTTGGCTATGAACCTCTGTCTCTTGGTTACCTGGGCTAAATGCAAAAGGAGATCAGAAAGCCCAGGTAGCAGGTTCTCCCTTACACGTAGGGCCACCGGTTACTGGGTTCCCTCTGCTTTATCTGTCCACCTTTTAGCTCTTCAGAGTTCATTCATCAAACACTACCCCCACTATATCTCCATAGTCTTGACTATCTTTCACAATCCTTTCACTCCTCACGTCAGAGGCATGTCATTCTCTGGGGAGAAAGTAAAAGAGAAGTTATCTACTCTGTCCCAAGGGTTCTGTCCTGTTTTTTCCAAAGCATGTCGTTGATGCCATCTAGCCCCCTCCTTTGAGGAGCTGGGAGAGGACCAAGAGGACAATACAAGATTTTATTCACTGATAAGCTTTTGTGTAAAAATTTGTGCCCTTAAATATTGAAGTCCTGCTTTTATTGAGATAATGAGGATCTTAAGTATTGAAATTTCTCCATATGTATAATCTTACATATTTTCTTGATTTTTTAAAATAAACTTTACCTTGTAACAAGCCTACGACTTGTATAATTTTTTATCCCATCAATCTAAACTATATTAATTAACATTTTTCAAGTAAGGCTTGAATCAGCCATTTTAGAGCCCCAAACCATCTGTATGCCAATGTACTTTCTGTGTTTTGCTGCCTACTAACTGAAGGGTAAAGCTGCTCTAGCATTACCTACCTCCCCATGAACTACTGTCTTAACTTCCCAGAGACATCCGCAGTTTCTCACTTGGGCCTTTGCTCATTCTGGTGCTTCTTCCTGGACTGCCTTACTTCTCCCAACCCCTTCCCCTATCTCTGACCCTCTACTGGCCCCTGTCAAGTCTGTTTCTCTACCAATCCAGAAAAGGTTATTTTCTGAATCTTACTGTGGGTAAAATTGAAATATTTCCAGAATTTCTTGCCTGGCCTTAGTGCATCTCCATATCAATAGGTGTTTTCAAGGAGTGGAGAGAAGTAGTCCATATTCCATATCAATAGGTAATTATAAGGGCTAGCGAGAGCATATCTGGACCTGAGAGGTTGGGTGGGGTCCCTTTTACTGCAGCTGGGTTGTGATGATGCCAGGGTTCTTGTTTGCAAGGTCAAAGAATGAACTTAGCAAACACCCAAGGTAGGAGAACCAGGGTAGAGCTATTTTTTAGAAATGAAGTGAGAGGAAAGAGCTCCTGGCTCACACCAGGAGGGGACAAGAGAACCCAGGGTGGTGCGTTGTCTAGGGGATTTATAGGCAGTTGAGGACTTTTGGGAACTGAGGGCTTAGGGTGTGGACTTGTACCACCTGCCCTGCCCTCAAGGTGGGCTGGGTTGTTGTCTGTTTGCCAGGGCTGTTTACAGTGAAGTCACTTGTTATGCTGATACCCTTGCAGAACACTCAAACATTCTAGGCCAAGTTGTCCCCTGGCCTTTTGACCTTTAACTGCTCTCACTGAAGATGTCTATATTTCTAGTCTAGTATCTTTACCCTAGAGAATTAGTGTGACCTTGACTTTGCATAATGCTGACCACAGAGTTTTGATAGGGACTTTACATTGTCACATTGTTTTGACTGTAAATATCCTGCCTTGCTTTTTCAGGAGGCCCTCACCCTGCTCTGACTATACCCACGGTCCCTGTCTCAGTGAGAGACATGGGAGAGAAGTGGATGACTGCTTGTAAGCAGTAAACAGTTTTCTCCCTTTTTATTTCTTCCTTTGACTGATTTCAGTTTCAAAGGTATTTAGCCCTGGGACTTTCCCCTGAAGTTACATCTGGAGGTAGTCAGCAGGACCTCTGAACCCGAAATCTATCTATGTGGGTGCAACCCTTGGGCAGGCTGCCTCTAGAGGTGGTGGGGAGATGTCTGGACCGTGGGTGGTGGGGAGTCCCCAGTGGCTGCAGTGGTAGAGGGTACAGCTTCTCTTGGGAGACCCCTATCTGTAGGGCTTCCAATTGGGGAACCCCTCATGGAGAATTGGTCTAGGCTAAAGCACCTCCTAGACGGGTGGGGCCTTCCCCAGAATTGGAAAAGGGTGGGACACTGGAAACTATGGGATTAGCCCTCTGTGAGATAGAAGACTGCTTAGAGCCCCTGAGTGGCCTTGTAGCAGCTGGCATTGTGGGATGCCTTCTCCTTGATAGTGGAGAGGGTTATTGAGGAGAGAGAGAGACTGCAGCAGGAGAGAGACACCCTTCAGCATCGCTTGGAGGAGCTAGGCAATGACCTATGGATGCCCTTAAGAGACAGAGACAGTGAGAAGACAGGTTGTGGTCCTGGAAGATATGTTAGCAGCAGCAAGGGAAGAGATATCAGGAGAGCCCACGTTGCAGAAGGCCATGGGAGAGGGGGAGGAAAGAGCCAAGACCAGCCTGAGATGATGGAGGAAATATCAGGAGAGGATGAGGGTGTGGGACTGAGGGCTGATCTATTGCCTGTGGCCTGAGGCAGCAGCCACTCCTATATTAAAGGCCCACCCAGTTGTAATTAAGAAAGTAAAAACGCAACAACCACAGGCTCCTCAGGGGGAGGAGCAGCCCCCTCCCCAGGTTGCGGAGCACTCCATGCTCCACCCCTATACCCAGGATGAGCTGGTGGACATGAGCGTCAGGTATCAGCAGAAGCCATCAGAACCTCTGCTACATGGCTTTTGTGTCTCTTGGATATGGGGTGGAAAACATTGTTATGTGGAGTTCTGAAATGGGTAGACTGGCTTCCCTGACAACTCACCCTTCCTCCGACAGTGGTTGCAAAGTGCCCGTCACACCACAGGGAATCAGGTGCTTCTGGATTGGCTGAAAACAGCCATCAGGGCAGTTTGGCCTAATCAGGGTGATTTGCCATACTTACACACTAGCTGGAAAACATGCAGAGCTCCAGCAGGTGTTGCAAGAGTTTGGCACGGAAAATATCATCTATAATATGGACACCCAGCGCCCCAATGAGTAGTTCTTAACGAATGAGAAATCTAGTGCTCCATAGAGCTCCCCCATCTCTCTTTGGGACCCTAGTGACTATTCTTGGCCCCCACATAGGGCAACCCATAAATGAGGCTACTCGTACTTTAGCAGATCTGGGGAAGTTGAAACAATAACAGCACAGAAGGAAGTATGAAGAGGTGCAAAGGGCCCCGTGAAGTTCTCGAGGACCCAAATGTGGGTTGATTTGATAAAGGCGGGGGTAGTGAAAGAAAACTTGATGGGCAGCCCAATAGGATTTTGTTAGAACTGTGGCACCAATTAAAGCCAGAGCAGCAGTTTCAGCTGCTGAGGTCCAGGGGACATGGAAGCCGGAGTCAAAGCCCCATGTACAGCCTGTGTCTCTGCAAGATTTCTTGGGAGACAGTACCACCTGGGCTCTCACCCCCCACAGGATGTTGATTGGGCATCGTGGTTTGACTGAAGGAGGGGTCAAGTTCCCACCTTGGGTGATGTGGTGGAGACTGGAGGCCACATGTAGAATCAGCAATTCATTGGTCCCCCGTGAGTGTACAACATGTCCTGGCGCTGGTGGAGACAGGAGTTGAATGTTCTCTGATTGATGGCAACCCTGAGCATTTTCCCGGGACCCCTGCTGTGATAGATGGCTATAGGGGTAAGGCAGTCAGAGTGAAGAATGCCCATTGGGGATAGGGCATTTACCTCCAAATGAGTATACTGTGTACATTTCTCCCATCCCAGAATGTATTTTAGGGGTAGATATACTACAGGGGCTGTGGTTACAGACCACTGCAGGTGAGTTCAGACTGAGGGTACGT